GCCTGCCTGGCAAGCGCAAGGTTGTGAGTTCAGTTCCTGGTACCCAGAGAAAAACCAAAAAAAAAAAAAAAATTTACAAGGAAAAATGAGTATAGTGGACTTAAGTGTAATATATCATCAGATAAAATCTGTTAAAAGAGAATACAAAGAATATCCTAGAAAAATAGAATTTTTGAGATAAAAATTTACGGATGGGCCTAACAGCAGAATGAATATTGAAGGGCAAAGATTAGTGATCTTGAAAACAGATAGTAGGAATTATTTTAAATGGGGCCGGGGATATAGCTCAGCGGCACAAGCGCCTGCCTGGCAAGTGCAAGGTCCTGAGTTCGATCCCTGGTACCAAAAAAGAGAGAAATTATTCTAAATGGTGCAAAGAGAAAAAAGATAGAACATCAGTGCCCTGTGGGATTAAGTTGGTATTCACATACATGCTGTTGTAATCCCAGCAGCCAGAGAGAATTAATTAAATGAATTAAAATACTTGGAGATGTAATAGTTCACTGTTTCTCAATTTGATACCACAGAATATCTTGCAGACATTTAAGAAGCCCAGTGATCGCCAAACAGATGAATATTTTTAAAAACCCCAACTAAGCATGTAATAATAAACTTGTCTAAACCCAAAAGTATGAAAAATGGTAATACTAGTTAGAGAAAAGTTAATCTCCTGTATGAGAAGAGTGATAACGCTCACAGATGAAATCTTACCAGACATAAGGCAAGACAGAAGATGGCAGGATGACAGATCTAAAATTCTGTATCTTGTGAAGCTATCCTTTAAAATTAAAGCTGAAAATGAAAATTAAGAAGATTAAAAATAGGAGATTTATTTACATAGACGTTCACTATGAAAAAGTTCTTCAGTCTCAGAGGTTGCAATACCAGGTAAAAATGCTGACCTACCATCTTATTTAAAATCTGTTAAAAAAAATGAGGATGAAGGAATACCTTAATTTTCATGGTATGAAGTAACAAACCCTTATGCTAAAACCTAAGAATGTCACACAGGAGAATAAAATCAAAGAATAAATACCCTCTATGAACATAGATGAAAAATTCCCAAGAAAATATTCACAAGTAAAATCACCAATAAATAAAAAGGGTAACTATCATCACTGTTGTAGCTTAGATCTTGAATGTCTCCATAGGGCCCAAGTGTTAAGTCTTGGTCCCCAGGGTAATGCTACTGCCAGGTGGAGGAGCCTTTAAGAGGTGGTCCCTTATACCACTGAGGGTGAGGTCATGAAAGGGATTGTGGGATTGTGGCCCCTTCCTCTTCCTGTTTTGCTTCCTGGCAATGAGGCAAGCAGTTTTTTTCACCATGTGCTCCCCAGCATTGCTGTTTAGCATCCACACAAGAGGTCTAAAAACAATGAAAATTAATAAACAATGAGATAGCACTAAACACCCATTAGAATAACTAAAAAGGACTTTTAACATTAGGTGGTGATAGTGTAGAGCAGTAGAACTCTTACAAGATGCTAGTGGAGGTATGAAAGGGTACAACCACTTTTGGAGAACTGTTTATTGGCAGTTTCTCAGGCAGTGAAACAGATATCAGCATATGATCCATTAATCCCACTCCTAGGCATTTAGCAAAAGATATATCAAAAAGCATGCAGAAATAATCCCCATATTAACACCAGCATGAATATCCTAAATGTCTGTCCATTAGCAAGAGAATAAACAATTTTTTTCAGCATAAACTATTAATGCAAGGGGGAAAATGTTTTAAGTGTTCAGTTTTGTTTTTTTTTATTACACATGTGAGTACAGATAAGACACTAAACCTTATGCTGATGGAATGACATGCCTGAGGTCAGGTAATAGTAACAAGGCCAGTTCTTGGGCACAATGACGATCACAAGACTGAATAGAAGGGGACATGGCCATTTGAGAGGGGGAAAAAATAGGAAGAGGTCAGAGAGGTCTGTACAATGAAATATTCCTCATCATATAAAAAGAAAGAAATGAACTAAATAATCTCACGAACATGCTAAAGAGCAGGAGCAGGTCCATCTGCTTCCATTGCTATGAAGCTCTGGAGAAAGTGAACTGAGCTGCAGTGACTAAGTAAAAACGCCAGGGGCCGGGGGAGTAGGGGGAGGAAAATTTCCTGGGCAATGGACATTTTTTTCTTATGTAATTGAGGTGTACATACACAGTCCTCCCTTTATCAAAACTCACTAAACAACACTATTAAGATTTGCATGATTCAACATACTAAAATAGACATCAACTTTTTTTTCCCTCTTTTTGAGACAGGGTTCACTATGCGGTTCAGGGTGGCCTTGAACTCAGTATGTAGCCCAGGCTGACCTAGAACTTATAGCGATCCTCCTGCCTCATCCTCCCAAGTGCTGGGATTATAGGCGTGCACCACCACACCTGGCTCAACTTTTTTAAGTTAAAAGAAAAAGAGATAAAAGAAATTTGGGGGAAACTAATGTGTGATGGCCAACTTTTCTTTTTTGTCAAAGATAACAAAAAAATACTGTCTCCTATCACTATTTATTTAAAGGGTAAATTTGGCACCAAAAGGTATAGGATGAACATAATTATTTAATGAAAAAAATTTGCATTATGAAAATTCAATACATGTTTTCTTCATTTTGCCATAGAAAGACCAACTGTTTCCCTAGGAAAATTCCTTATTTGGACTTAGGAAACTCTGAAAGGTACAGAGAAGAAACAGACTCCTCTGGTGGCCATGGATTTCACGAATTGACACCCTGGTAATTCCTCGGCTTTTCTTTATTCTTCATATAGTCCACGCTGCAGCAGAAGAAGCTGGCAATGTGGAGATACCATACTCACACATGGATTTTTTTTTTCCCCGGGACCAGGAATTGAACTCATGACCTTGTGCTTGCCAAGCAAGTGCTGTGCCGCTGAGCTAAATCCCCAGCCCCCATACTCACACACGGAGACAAAAATGCCAAGACAAGCCTGCTCTCTTTAGCCAGAGGGCTAGGAAAGGGATAGCCTCACAAGACAGAAAGCTTTCTGAAGACAGCTGTGCTAGCATATCCGTATAACACAGGAAAAACTGTGCCACCCAAACTCAGGGTTCTATAGGCTCAGTGGGGAGCTAGGCATCCATCCTCAATACGCCGTTGGGAAGAACCTCTATGGTGCTGGGGACCTCATGGGGAGATACAGCTGCAGAGACACAATTTCCTCTCCCAGATGGGGTGCTTCAGAGGTGGCCTGGTGAGGATCAAGACTGACCATCACACGGAAGTAGCACAAAACCGCTGCTAGCATTAAAGGAGACTGCGTGGGAGCAGTCATGCACTTCTCTATCTCCCCACCAGGGGTGGTATAAGTGGAGGCCTAGTTAAGCGGTAACAAACTCACACTTCCACCCAGAAATAGCAGGGTGTTCCCATTCTTAGGATGTGCACAGAATCTGAGCTGAGATCTTGGGCTTCTGTGCCACAAGACACAAATGAGGCGATGTACCTTTCCTTCCTGGGAAGTGTGTTAGAGGAAGCCAGTTGAAACAGAGGGTTAAAAGAAGATTGAGTGTGTCATGATATCCCAAATATCCAAGTTTTAATCAAATGTTACTTATCAACATAACAACCACTGGTGAATTCTTACCATCTTGTCTAGTGAAGCTCTGTATCGTTTCTAATTTTATTATTATTTTTTATTCTCTTTAATGGTTCAATCAATCTTGCTTTATTCTTACATTTAATAATCTGAGCAACTTCACTGAAGATAACAATATGTAATATAACAACCCCTGTTTAATTCCTATCATTTTGTTTTGAAACCCTGTATCATTTTTATTGTTTTTGCTTTGTTTTGTTTTTGTCTATGTTGTTATTATTTTTTTATTCTCTTTTTTAAAAAAAGTTACTTATCACACCAAGAACCAGGAAGATGTCAAACCAAATGAAAAAAGACAGTCAATCAGGGCCAACACTGAGATGACAGAGACATTCGAATTATCTGATGATTGTAAGCAGCCATCATAAAAATGCTTCAATGAGAAATTATGAACATGCTTGAAACTAGAATGAAGTATTCTATCAGAATGGCTAACATGGAAGATAGCGACAATGCCAAGTGCTGACAAGGAAACAAAGAAACTGGGCTGCTCATACATTGCTGGTGAGCATGTAAAATGTCACTCTAAAAAAAAAGTGTCAATTTCTTTAAAATGTCAGCATACACCTACCATATGACCCATTTACACCAGAAAAATTAAAGCCCATATTCACATAGAACCCAGTACACAAATATTTTATTCCTAGTTGTCAAAAACTAACAGCAATCCACGTATCTCACTCAGTGGGTGACTGGTTATTTGAACTACAGCACCTTCACACTGTGGAATATTATTTATCCATGAAAAGAAATAGATCATCAATACATGAAACAATATAGATGAATCTCCAGAAAAGTATACTGAATGGCAAAGCCCATTCCAAGGGCTGCATATTATGTGACTCATTTATACAACATGCTTGAAATAATAAAATTATAGAAGTGGAGAACAAGTTAGTACAAATGACATGGTATGAATAAAAGAAGGAAAAATGGCAAAGGGCTCTGAATTCTCACTATATCAATGTCACTGTATCCAAATCCTGGCTGTGATATTGTTCTATAGTTTACAAGATTTTACCAAGAAGGGAAGCTAGGTAAAAGAGGCATGAAACCCTTCTGTATCAGTCTTATAACTGCATATGAATCTGTGATTCTCTCAAACAAAAAGTTTAAATAGAAAACAAAAACAAATCATAGGAGAAATTTCCAGTTAGATTTTAACACAATGACTTTGTATAAGCATCAGAAGATTGTCTTTCCTTTCTGAAATGCTTTTTAGTTGAAGCATAATGTACATCAGAGATGTAAGTATAGCAGCTTGTTAAATGATCACAAAATGAATGCACTTATCCTTCATGCAGATTAGGAAATAGAACATCTGCCTCCCCAAAGACCCTGCAAGAAGCTGTCTGCTTGGGCTGGACATTTTTACTTACGTTGTCTCAGCAGTGGCCAATTAGGAAACCGAAGCAGTGCCTGCTGGTCCACGCCAGAATCTGTGCTGTGAAAAAATAAGCTGTTTGGGAAGGAAAATGCAAGTGTCAGTTTCCCATAGATGTACGGGTTCTCACAAGGAAGCCCTGTCCCTTGTCTGTGTCTTAAAAAGGGGCCCGCCTCGCATGGTGCCTTGGCACCAAGCACTTTGAGCCCTTCCTGTGGTGAGAAGTGGAACATGCCACAGGCATGATCTTTTTCTAAAATCTAAGAAAAATGATAAGTCACCATCAGAAAAATGAAAAGCAGCCACAAACACGTTTTATTTCATAAAATGTATTAATGCATTTTAGCTGGAATAATAACTTACACTGAATTGGATATAATTTACTTGAATTTCTTAGATTCGTTACACAATTTGTCTTGTTTTTAATTATGACTGGGGTCTGGCTGGACTCAGCTGAATTCCATCTCTTCAAAGGTCTTTGTTGTGTTACACAGCTCCCCTTAGGAACAACTTTCACCCATCAGAAATTCTGGGTCAGGGGTGTGAACCCAAACACATTCATGGAGAATGGCACCCCATTGCCCTGCACTTTAAACATCTCCCCAGTGAGCCCAGGATAATACAGCTGCCAATCTCAGAGACTGGAACTCCGCTAGACGACTTGCCCTCTCTTGCAGTTATAACAAGTTGCTTGTGAATGAAGGAAATAGAATGATCCTCGTTCACTTCCCAGACACACAAAGGTCCACTGTGGGGCGTGAGGGCTCACCAGGTGGCTGCCATGCGGAAACCAGGACTGTGGGGGTGGGGATGACCTCCACAGTGAAGAGACTAAATCTCACTTGTGTTTTTTTAACCTCTGCTGAATGGCCTGCATTTAGAGGTTCAACCATGGATGTTACACCACTGAGGAGCACGCATGGGTCAGGAGTCGGGGGGGAGGTGTTTCCTCCTTTCTTAGCAGCACACTCTGTTGGCTCTCATGGTTTTCTCATCTCCCTGCTTTAAAGGTCTTTGGTGCAGGGAAAACAAGGTGGAGGGGAACACACTTTCTAGCTGGTTCCTGCTGTCCCCTAGAGATGTGCCAGCAATTCTATGGAAGTGACAGTAGGTTTAATCCAATTTTGACGATGCTTTCAAATCAAAGAGAAGTTTAGAATTTGACTCAGTTGCATTGCCAGTATGACTGGTCCAGTGCATCGCTGTTTCAACAACACCCCTGACTCCTGGACCATGGCCACCAAGCAGAAGGTGTCCCTCCCCACTCCAGTGGTGTAGACCTCTATGCTCACCCCCAAACCAGCTTCCCCTTTGCCCTACATGATGTGGCCAGGGTTCTCATCATGGAATCGCCTGCAGCCAAATGGGAGTGTCTCTGCTGGGTAGGAAGAAGAGAGGTCCTTGCTCAGATTCCTTACAAAGAAAGGCAAGAGGCTATGAGTAGCACAAGAGGCTGAGGGACTGCGGAACACCACCTTCCTTTCTTACTCCCACGAATGTTTTCAAGATGCTTGGTCTAAAACCTCAGTTCATGTTGCATTGGATTCTAACACAGATGTCTGCCTAGCTGCCTGATCAAGGTGGTTTGAAGAAGGGGAAATAGAAGAATGGGACATCTTGTGTCACTAAAAGGGAAACATTCACTGTAACATGGAAAACAGCCAGCAGTGCTTTTAGAGAAAGTGAGGGCACATGTATCCTTTCTAAGCCTCATGGGCTCCATAGTTGGGGTACATGTTCTCCTTGAAGCTAAGATTTGAACAGAAGGACTAATATCTTGACACCATATTTCTGGCTTAGAGTTCTTCCCTAAAATTTTCCCTGTATCTTTTTTTTTTTTTTTTTTTTTTTTTTTTCTTCCCAGTACCAGGAACCAAACTCACGACCTTGCACTCGTCAGGCAGGTGCTGTGTTGCTGAGCTAAATCCCCAGCACCCCCTCCTTTTTTTTTTTTCCGACTTTTTTTTCCCCTAAACCTTTCTACCACTAAATACCTGCATTCATATTCTCTGCTTAGTCCAAAATAAAAGAATAATTTATTTTGAGTAACTAAATGAGATAATGCAATATAAGCACATAATAACAAATAATGTAAATAAGTGTGATAAATGAGTGTAGTTCATCTTTACTTCCAAATGAGGCCAGCAGCATCCCGGCTTTGGGGACTAGTGTCCGCCATGCTTTCACATATTCTTACTGCGAGCTACATCTCCTAGGAATAAATCAAAACACCCATGGCAATGTCCACGTGGAATTATTTGAACGACCCATCCACCACTCAACAGGCTTGGATGCTTTTCCTTCTCAGTGATTCAGTCATTTGATGGACTGAACTAAAAGTAAAACTCAAACCTTAGTGGTCATTTCAGACTCGAGCAGACACAGCCAGAGCCCAGATTTTACAGGTTCTTAGTGGGCTGCAGAGCAGCTCTCATCCACGCAGGGAAAAAACGAACGGTTCCTTTTTGCAGGGGAAGCTGAGGTCGGCTCCTGTGTGCACCTACCAGCCAAGATAAACAGGAGCCAGGCTTGTGCTGGAGGTTCTGAGTTTCATTTTGCACTACTGGGCGCACCAAAGTGAAAACAGTCTGAGAGGCGTGAGAGGAAGAGTAGGGTGAGCGAAAGGCTCCAACAGAAACTGGGAACTGACAGATCATGGCTCAAATAGGACAGCGAGGCAATATTTGGATGAAGAGCCGAGAGCTATTGCTGCATGTGATCGAGTATGGGGAGCTGTCAAGGTTTTCTGGACACAGTCACGATTGACATTATTTATTTTCTCTTTTCATGAATGAGTTTTTGGTTTTTTGACACTCCCGCTCCCATAGGCAATTTCCATCGCGTCGGAGAGGTGAAGGAGTGGTCCTCCTCCTTGCTGTGCCTGCGTTTTGCAGCCCTGCCTCATTTTCCTGTTGGTCCTTTATCACCTGCATTTTCACATGGTTCCAGTGTTTGAGTTCAGGGCAGGAAATAGAACCTGATTCAACATTTTGCTAAGTATTATTTTCACCACAGTGAATAGGGTCCTTTTTGATCTGCAACCCACACCTGGGCTGTGGTTCCCCCAACATACACAGACTGAAAAGCTTCCTCGTTTGTTGATTACTCAGTGTGAGCTCGCCGTGGGTCCACATGTACTTGCTTCTTCTCCGCTTGTCACTGACAGCCACTGTTTCAACGCCAGTGGCCATTCCCGGAGAAGGGCAGCTGTGCCCAGGAGATCAGGGAGCAAAAGGAGGCTTGCTCTACCTTTAACCTATTTTGACATTAAGGGGTGGTGTGAGATCAAGTAGAGACTCACAAGCAAATATTCATTTGCACTGAAATACACCACCTTAAGAGGCTAAGATTTGTCGTTTTCTTTCTTTTTTTTCTAAAAGCAAACTGAAGTTGGATTTTTAAACAGAGATATGTAATTATTAACTGTTGGGTTGTTTTCTCCTGAAAATGAACCTCAGCTGATTGTCACTACGTAAAGTTGATAATTATCTCAAGCAAAATAAATACAAATGCCTGGGTTACTGAAGACTGAAACACGATAATGCCCAGACACTGAATTTTCCAAGAACAAAGAACACAATTGTGTTATAGAGAACAGACAAGACATGGGCACCTTGTACATGGGGACCTTGTTACGATGGAGCCCTCTGAGCTGAGGTTCTACAACGAGGGCCTATCCCGCTCCTCACCCCTGGTGACACTAGAAGAGCAGTAGACCCCGGAGTTCAAAACCCACCGTGGAAGCCTCAGCTTTACCACTCACTAATTAAGCAGCAAGTGAGGCTCAGATTCTTACAGTGGAGCAATGGCTATTCATGCTGAAGGGGACTTACCCTTTATCAAGCCTGAAAGGCTCTAGCGTATTGGCTTGAGTTGAAAAAGTAAAATAACCCAGCACCTTTTCCTGTGTGCCTCAGTGGGATAATTGCACTCATGCTGATTCCTGAATAGGTGGATGGGTTTTTGCCTACTTCGTAACATCAGGTAGGCTGACGGAAAGCGTTTGAATTCTGCAGGTCTTTTAGTGGCCTGTAGTACTTCAAAGGAACAGGAGGGCTACAAAGGGATGTGTCTGGGGCTTACTCCATCTCTGGGATTAGGAGTTTGGGTTTCTATGCTCAGCTAGAATGTTGGACAATTGCTTAATTTCTCTGTTTCTTAGGTTTTACTCTTTTGTTAGATGGGGATTATGTCTCTGCCTTACTGACCTGAAAGATCTCTATGAGAACGAAATAATGTTTTAGTATAATTATTATTAAACTACAGCTTTAGTACAGTTCTTGGGGGTTCTGGTAGACCTTACAATTTAGGCTCATTGGTTCTTTTACATAAACTTTTTATCATGGGATACTTTTAGATTTACAGAAAAGTTCCAAAGATTATGCAAAGGGTTCTCATATGCCCTTCACTCGATTTCTCCTAATGTTAGCATCCTATGTAACTATGGTCCACTGTACGTAAAAGCCGGAAACCCAATATTGGCTTACTAATAGGAAGTAAGCTGTAGCCTTTATTCAGATCTCACCAGGTTCTCCACTAAAGTCTGTTTTCTGCTCCAGGGTTCAGTCCAGGATACAACTTTGTAGTGAGTCACAAGATCCCCTCAGTCCCTTCTGATCTGTGATGGTTTTGTTAACTGTCTTTTGCTCACTCCCAATTTTGAGGAGTACCTGTCCAGGTGTATGGTGTAGCCCTTCCTTAGCTCGGCTTTATCAGATGTGCTTTGCATGATTAGACTTTTGTATGATCCGTTATGGGTTTGGGGGAGAGGAGAGAAGCACTCTTCTTATCTCATGATATCAGAGGCACATGCCCTGGACACATCCTGTCACTGGTGACATTAAACTTCCTTCCTTGTTTAAGGTGCACCTGCCATCTTTCTCCTCTGTAAACAATTTCCCCTTCCTGTGCTCTATTCTTTAAAATAAAAACAAGTCATGAAGTCCAGCCCACACTCAGGGTGAAGGGGAATTAAGTTCTAGCTCCTGGAGAAAGGAGTATCTACATATATAATTTAGAATTCTGTTAAAAAAGAAAGACTTGTTTCCTCACCCCCATTTATTTTCTTGTTTAATCTTTTATCTATAACACTATGGACTTATGTTTAGTCATTCTGTACTATGAGTTGCAATCCAGTACCACATTCTTTATTTTGTTATTCAAATTGTTCGAGTTTTGACCATTGGAAATTTCTGTATATTCACTGCCCCAGCCATAGAATTAGCTATTTTCTAAGAACCCTGGTTCCTTTTTAGGTGAATGATATTTGAAACTAAGAACTGGTCACTGAATGTACTGGTTGTTGTTGGCTGATCATGATTATTACTCAAATAAACTGAATGAAATATTTGGAGTCAGAAAGATAGGAGTTTTTCCTAGGTATGTTACTTTGGGCTAGTCACTTTGCTACACTGGGCCTCAGTTTCCACATTGATGTGTAGGGATAATGAAAAGCAATCACAGGTTTTGGGGGTAATATGAAATAATATCGAAGACCAAAGAGTTTTTCTGTTTCTGATAGGAGAAAAATTTTAAGACCAACTTTTCTATTGAAAACAACCAAAGTACTTGGCAAAAAAAAAAAAAGAGAAACATCTTCATAGAATAAATGATCTGACAAAACAGTAAAGGCAGGGGCTGGGGATTTAGCTCAGCGGCAAAAAGCGCCTGCCTGGCAAGCACAAGGTCGTGAGTTCGGTTCCTGGTACCAGAGAAAAACAAAAAACAAAACAAAACAAAACAAAACAGTAAAGGCAAAATTTAAAATGGGAACCTAGAGAAAGAAGTAAGAAGACCGTATTTTCCCTGAAAGCATTTTCTACTTCCAGAAAATCTGAGCTTTCTCTTTGACAGCCTGATAGTGGTTGAGGAGGGGTAGGTGATGATGATAGTAAAAAGCCAGCACAAGCTCTAGGCAAGAAATTTACCAGGACCCTTACAATGGTAAGCTGAGGTACAAGGGACTATAACTCTCAGGAGGATAAAGAAACTCTTACCCTTATTTTAAGTATATGTGCTTTGAAGAAAGCTCAGGCTCTGACTTTGGGTTAAGGTGGATCTCAATCTGAGAGGGCCTTCAAGGCCTTGTAGGGGGAAGTAACTTCAATTTGGCCTTTATATGAATCATACAGATCATCCTCAGAAACAATGAGCAGCACACAATAAAAGATAACTGGATACATTGCAGAAGCAACAGGCAAAAAAAATAAACACACAAAGACTTAAGATATTGGAATTTCTAGCTACAGATTATAAACAATCATGTTTCAGCGTGTAAAGAAATAAAAGGCAAGATTGAATAATCTTTGGGAAGTGTCATGGGCAGTATAAAAAAAGCGAATTTTTAAAATCAAAATTCCAGCAATTAGACTTAAAAATTTGGAGAATGGGTTAACTAACATGTCGGAGAAAGAAAGATCAATAAACTTGAAGAACTATCATGGGAAAACAAACTACTTTCAGTGATACCGATCATCCTAAATCTCTGTTAGTATGCTCCTATTTATCATCTTTAATTGACTAAGAGCCCCAGATTTTCGGTAAAGATAAACTGCTAATAATTTCCTGGAGCTCTGAGATCCCCCAAAGGAGTGAGGTGCCAGTAGGAAAAGAAGGACTTGGGTCAGCTCCCCTACTCCCTCGTCTTTTGGAACAGTAGAAAAGCCCAGAGTAGGGGTGAATGCTCAGGGGTAGCAGCTCAAAAATCTGACCAAGAAAGCTTTAAACCATTCTACAAAGCCTGAGAAGCCCAGCTCTACCCCTATAGGTACAGCTGATTCTCGAGAGGCCGGCTCCTCCCCACTCATCTCCCAGGCCACCGTGAGGATCCCGTGAATGATAACTGTGGAAATCGTGTTATATCTTCCACTCCCTCCAGCTTGGAAACCAGACTTTATACAAAATGTCCCACCACCTTGTGACCCCTGTAACATGAGGAAACTCAAGTGAGGCCACAAGGAAAAGAGGGTAGTTCACCGGGTCCCATCTGGTCCTGCCATCCAGTTGGGTGGCAGCCTTGAAAGGCAAGAAGCCATCTCAGACGCTTCGCTCCTGCAGACAGCACGTGAAGCAGAACTATGTAGCCGAATCCCGTTCTGACTGCAGAACTGTGAGAAATAATAAATGGCGACTGTTTGAAGCCATAAGTTTTGGGATCATTTGTGACATAACAATACATGCTGAAACAACACTACGTGTACTTTTATCCAGAATCTCAATGTTTTTCTCCCAAATGGAATGAACTCCCTTGAATGCAGAGACCTGTTGTGCTTTAGCAGACAGCCTGCAGAGAGGAAGTACCGAGAAGTGTGTTCTACTGATGATTAAGCTGTTTTACATTCTTTTTCAGTGCAGCAGCATTTAGGGGGTGTCTCCCTGGTCCCGCCTTAATTTTCAGGTGCTCAGTAGCTACCATATTAAATCCTGCTGTTAGCACTGAGATAAAAATACCACAGGTCTTTTTCTGGATATGAAAAACAAGTGTACAGGTTTTCTAACAAGTAGAAAAATAGACATCATTAGTAATTTCCTTTTGCCAAGATAAGGAAAAAACCCTCTGCTTTACATGTCAGAAAGTTCATGCACAGCTGAGTCATTCCCTTGCCTCTTAAACTCTGAAGCATAAGACGATCATGGCAGCAAGGAAAACACATATAAGGCATAAAAAAAAATGTCCATAAGTGGAAACTGATAAAAGGCTGGCAGGACTATTTTCTAAGAAAGCAGAGAACCAAAGACTGATGCCTAGAGGGTTCTTTTGAACCCCAAGGCTCCTTACCTCATGCTGGCCATGGGAGTCAGATATTTATGCTCTAAATACCAGGCCCACTCCTGGAACTCCAGCTTGGTTCCATACAACAGACAAAACTGGGATGGGAAAGAGGAAAGAAATGGACAAATAGTAATATGTTAAAAAGTGCAGAATTGATGGAGGCAAGAGAGAATACCATGGCACATATAAAATCACACCATACTTTCTTAATGTAAAATGGTCATGTTCTAGATGTGCCACGTTTTATTTTTTAAACCATTCCATGAAAACCTAAGCAGCATGTATAGAAGTGGAATGAATAGTATAAAAAACTCCCCCATATTAATCCCTCCAACTCAAGAAAATCTGAACTCATGACCAATCTTACTTTATCTATAATCTCACCTGTTCTGCCCACCCCAGGTTACTTAGGGACCCACAGAGAATATCTATTAAATATGTGCATCATTCTGTTTGCTCCCCCTCTCAATTTGTGAAGGATTACTCTAAATGTACATTCTGAATACTATCATCTTGATGTTTTCCATTGAGCATGGTTTGGTTAAACTTTCACAAAAATAGCATTCCTCATTTACATTTTGTTTCAATACATTTTTCCTGTTACATTTCTGAAACCCACACACAGAGCTCCTCAATGACATCATGGGCAGCTACCAAGCAACGATAAGTGAGTTTTCCTCTGGAAAGAAGTGACTTTTTATTTAACTATGTACCCATACAACTTTTAATATTCTACAATCCTAAATCCTACAAAAGTAGGGGGCATTGTTTATGGGCCTTCCTGTCTCCATCCCCGGCTTCCATAGATGACAGCTTGTTGCTGTCTTGTCCCATCTGTATTCCCAGCTGGTCCCCTTTCTCTATCATTTTGAAGTAAACCTCAGTCCTGTGATTTCATTCACAAATATCTCACTGCAGATGTCTGAAAGATACTAGCCCTTTAGAAGTCAAATAGTTTTGACATCAAACCAAGCAACAACAACAACAAAACCCTTTTAATCAGAGTCAGCTGGAGATGATCTTCACATCGGAAGACAATCTGTCTTTTATGGACTGCCCAACTCAGAAGTCACATGGTGTCTTAAATCCTCTCTTGAGGTTCTGAGATATCTTTGGAATACCACTATTAGGAAGAACTTCTACTACTGTCTTTCTAGAAGGGTCACAGTGTGATTTAGCAAGTCATTTATGGCTTGAACTTGTCAAAGTTAGGGATGTAGTTACTTGGCCAGTATAATCTTCTTTCTCTCTCTCTCTTTTTTTTCTCTCTCTCTCTCTCTTTCTCTCCTTTCTTCCCTCCCTCCCTTCCTCCAGGGATTGAATCTAAAGCCTTCACACTGGGCTAAATCTTCAGCCCTTTTATTTTTTTCAAATATTTTGAGACATGATCTTGCTAAATTGCTAAATTTCTCAGGCTGGGCTTGAACTTGCCATCCTCCTGTTTCAGCCTCCCGGATTGCTGGGATTGAAGGCCTGTGCCATCATACTTGGCTTCTTTTGACTTATATAATAACAGTAATGATGCTGGCTAAACCTGCAGATGTAGTAACAGTAACTGAAAAGTACTGCAATTCACCATGAAAACATAAATTCTTATAAAAATGATAAACTATGTATATGACTAAACTGAATCACACGTCTCTAGGTGAATTTCATACATAGCCCAAGAATATTTGCATTGAGATCCCAGAAAGGTAATCCTCATCACTTTTGGGTATATGAAAATATGAGATCAGTAATAAAGAAATCTGGAGCCATAGACGCATAGGTGTTCTTAGAAATCACGGAGTTCACCCTCTCACTCAGTACAGAATTCTGCATCCACCGGGGTTCAGCCAAGAAACAGATGGCAGATTCACATTAGGATAATTCCAGAAGAGTTCAATACTTCTTAAAAAGAAAAATATGGGCAAGATGCTAGGAACCCTGAGGGACATCGCATTACTTCAGAGCTGGTAACCAGAGTTGTCACCACCTGTAGGTGTGGAGGAACAGGAAGGCAGACAGTGGCTACTGGATCCTGCAAGAGAGACTGATGCAAACAGGGACACTTGAAGAGGACTGTGACCCCCAGCCAAGGAACAGGGAACTCCCAAGCTGCCTGTACATGGAGACAAGCTGAGGACAGAGATATCCTGATCACACTCTCCTCCTCCTCTCCCATCTCTAGCTCTTATCTGAACCTCTCTGGGTCCAGTGGGCAAGGATTCTGCCATGGTTTGAATGTGTCCTCTAAAAGTTAATGTGTGGGACACTCAATTCCCAAATGCATGTGTTGATGGGTTTGGGATGTAGGACTTTTGAGAGATCATCAGGGCTAAGTGAGATCGTGAGGATGAGACTCCCATGATGACCTTTACAGGAAGAGGGAGACCTCAGCAAGCACACTTGCTCTGCCTTGTGTGTGATACCATCTGCAGCAAGAAGATGCTCGCCAGATGCTGCACCATGCTCTGGACTTTCAGCCACCAGGACCGCAGAAAACCAAATAAACCTCTTTCCAGTATTTTGTTACAGCAATGGAAAACAAAATAAGAGGGATTCCTTCAATGCACACTATGTAGGCCAACTTCCTAGGTATACACCAGGCTACAGAAGAGTGCAGAACAGAACTGGAGAGGCAAATGGAAGATAAACATCACAAGCTCCATCTTTGACACCCCTGACACATGGTCATTCAGCCTCTGTCTGGTCCCACGTGATTCAAGCCCAAGCCCACTTGATAGCAGAGCTCCTGACAAGCTACTGCCACTCACACAGTTTCTATGTTTAGTTCCAGGCTGCTGGCTTTACGCAGACTCCACCGCACTCCTATGTCTCTCGTGCTTTCTTTGGGATCTTGAACTGCCTTCCGGTTGGCTCAGTCTTTGGCTCTGGTACCTGATGCTCAGGGCTACATTTTCGGTTCTAAACTTTTGCTTTATTTTGTGAACGCAGTTCAGATTTCCTGAGGCTGCCCTCTTGTTTTGTCTTGGTAAACAGGAGTTCTGGTTGTTGGTGGCTACCAAAACACCACATCTAGATACCAGATACCATGAGTCCAGCTTCGGTCTCTCAAAAAGAACCTAAAATTTCTTCATTTGTGTTCAGTTCTTTAGCGAGTCTTACTTCTGGAAGAGTCATTTCTACTGAACCACTTTTTATGTGGAAAATCAAGTTATAAATTAGCTGTGGGAGGAAAGGAATTTATCCTGCTCAACTCTGTACGCCTGGCATGTGGTAAAAGAGCTAACACACTGGAAGAGATTGGCCAAAACCCAACTTCCTGTAATTCAAGGCTATTGATCCTATGACTCCTACACCTAAGTAACAAATCAAGAGCTTATTAAAGCTTCTCGATAGCAGCCACTAACAATTCCAACATACGCTTTATATCTCCACTTGGTCTCCAGGATGATCAGCCCTGACAGTCACCTTCCAATTACCACACAGTCTTAGATTTTGTGCCACCTTGGACCTGGTGGCTTCTTCTAGATGTTTAATTATCTTCTTCAAGGTGTCTCAAAGTAAATTCTACACCTAGATGTTGCCTCATCCCTGTAGCATCCTCAGCACTGTCACTGTCCTGAACTTGAACTCTATGCTTTTATATGGTGGAACTTGGTTTTATAGCAACCACATAACATTGTTTAATAAATGAATGAAAGAATATTATGCATAATTGAGTCATACCAAACATCTGATCATTTGAAACACCCAACTAAGATCTCTCCACAAACTGTTTTTAACACATCCATCCATACTTACATATATCCCTAAGGGACGACTGGGAATTTGTTCTTTTAAAGTCATCCTGTTGATGTGACCTACCTTGAAACCTTCAAAGTTTCTGCAGTTCTTGATTCAGTCACAGGATATATTGTGTCCTTCATAAATTTGTCAAATCTTGCCTACCATGCCATGGAACCTATACTTTTTATGATGTAATAAACAGACAAATCTTTTGAAGTATATGGGCTATCGTCACTGATTCTGGGTAACACAGAGTAGATGACTTCCCTGGTTTGTTTGATTGAATGCAGCCGTAACCTCTGGAAAACACACGTGGAGAAGCTACTTGAGGACCCTGAAAAATAAATAGTGGCAAGCAGATTTGGAAAGAAGATCAGACAGAATTCAAAGTATGGCCAAACTGGTGGTAAGTTTAACTTTTTTCCCTCTAGTCCTCTTGTCTCTGGAGGTACATGTAGAGCAGAGTAGGATAGCAAAACTCCAGCTTTGCAGCAAAAGGATGACCAAAGGGGAGCCTCAGAGAACCAGACAGCGCCTGGGAGGTCGTGGAGAGGGAGAGTAGAAAAGAGAAGCCTTATGCAGTGTTTTGTAAACTTCTGAGCTCAGACCCAGTTATACATGAATGGATTTAATGCTAATTAGCAGCTGAAAGACTTTGAAGATTGACCTAATGGACAGATGAAAACACATATGTCGGACCTGCCAGTGAGTGTTGCATATGTGGGATGGATCTGAATGATGCTGCAAAAGCACTGAAGACTACGCTAGCATTGGAACCTGTTATGGTTTAGACCTAACATGTCCTCCAAAAGTCTCACATGTTCAAAAGTGGGGTTCTCAGGAGGTGGTTGGATCATGAGGGCTGCAGCTGTACCCAGGGGTTAATCTCCTGATGAGATCATGGTTTGATGGGATTATTGGAAGGCAATGGAAATTTCACACGTGGGGCCTAGGTGAAAGGAGTGAGTTATTGGGGTGCGACCTTAGGAGCTATTCTGCTTCCCAGCCCCTTCTTCTCAGGCTGTTTCCATCTCCCTCTGCTTCCTGGCCACCATGAGGTGAGCAGCTTTCCTCCGTCAAGCTCTTCCACCAAGATGCCTCAGCCCTTGAAGCAGCAGACCTGAGTGAGCATGGACTGAAACCTCTAAAACCGCACGCCAAAAGAAGTCTTTCTTCCTTTATGCTGTTTATGTTAGGTATTTTGTTAGCGATGGAAATCTTACCAAGACAGAATCACTGTGAATGGAAAGTGTTGAAACTTTCAGCCCAAACACAACCAGGCACATTGCTACTAAAAGAAACAAGTCAACATTCTCCATAGCATCTAAGCAAGATCCAGAATCTCCTAACAGTATTTTACATGTC